AGACTTTAATTAAAACCGAATCTCCAACTTTGAAGGATATCGGTTGTCTTTTCTTGTCAGCATAACTCTTTTGTCGATCTTGAGCTGCAAACATCCTTTCTCTAATCACTTTCAACTTTTCAGCAGTCTGATGGACTATTTCAGGTCCCATAAACTGCTTTTCCCCAGCTTCCAGCTAACATGACAGCGTTCGACACTTTTCTCCATACAAATCATGATAAGGTGCCATCTTGATGCTCGAGTGGAAACTATTATTATAGGAAACTTCTACTAGAGGTAAATGCTCATCCCAACTACCTTGGAATTCCAGGGTACATGCTCTCAGCATATCCTCCAACGTTTGAATTGTTCGTTCGCTCTGACTATCAGTTTGCGGATGGTAAGCTGTACTCAAACACAACTTGGTACCCAATTCCTCTTGTAGACTCCTCCAAAACCTTGAGGTAAAACGGCTGTCACAATCAGATACAATCGTTAACGGAACACCGTGAAGCCTCACAATTTCCTTCACGTAAGAATTCGCAAGTTTATCTATAGACCATTTCTCGTTGGCTGCTATGAAATGCGCACTCTTAGTGAAGCGATCAACGACCACCCAAATCATGTTGTGACCGTTCCTTGTTCTGGGTAGTTGAGTCACAAAATCCATAGTAATGTCTTCCCATTTACCCATGGGTACAGGTAAAGGTTCTAAACTCCTATACGGTTTCTGATGTTGTGCCTTAACCCTAGCACAAGTTACACACTCGGCCACATACTTAGCAACATCGAGTTTCATCGTCGGCCACCAATAATAGGGTTTTAGATCCCTATACATTTTTGTACTGCCGGGATGAATCGAGTACATGGTCTTGTGAGCTTCTTCCATCAGAAGATCTCTTACTCCTCCCGTCTTAGGTACCCAAATCCTATCTTGGAATACCTTCAACCCTTGGTTGTTTGTACCGAATACTAACGTTTTGCCCAAACGTTCTTCCTTTCGGTCACTTTTCTCTAAAGCTTCTTCTTGAGCTTTCTTTATACTTTCCATAATTGTCGAGACAACTTCAATTTTCAACGCTCTTGGCCTTTTCTTTTCAAGGTTTACCTTCCGACTAAGAGCATCAGCAACAACATTTGCTTTACCAGGGTGGTAAAGTATCCCACAGTCATAGTCCTTGAGTAATTCTAGCCAGCGTCGTTGCCTCATGTTCAATTCCTTCTCATTAAAGAGATATTGAAGCTCTTATGATCAGTGAAAAGTTTGCATTTAGTACCATAAAGATAGTGCCTCCATATCTTTTCATGCTCTTTCAATTGCCTCGATGCATATGCTATCACTTTATCCCTTTGGGTCAGAACACAACCTAACCCAACTCCAGAGGCATCACTATAAACTGCGAAGTCATCAACTCCTTCAGGTAACGAAAGAATCGGTGCTTCACACAATCTCTCCTTCAACTTCTCAAAGGCTTCCTTATGCTTCTCATTCCAAGTATAAGTAGCTCCTTTGTGGATCAAAGATGTTAATGGAGTAGCAATCGAAGAAAAGCCTTCGATAAATCGGCGATAATATCCGGCTAATCCTAAAAAGCTTCGAATCTCCGTAGGACTTTTTGGTTGTTCCCACTTCATCACAACTTCAATCTTTGCTGGGTCAACCATTATTCCTTCTTGGTTAACCACATGACCTAAAATTGGACTTCTTGAATCCAAAATTCACATTTGGAGAACTTTGCATATAGCTTCTCCTTTTTCAAAACTTCTAGCACTTCACGCAGATGCTTATCATGCTCCTGCTTGCTTTTCGATTAAATCAAGATATCATCTATGAATACTATCAAGGATTTATCAAGGTATGGTTTACAAACCCTGTTCATCAAATCCATGAAAGCTGCTGGGGCATTGGTTAGTCCGAACGACATAACCAAAAATTCATAGTGTCCATATCTTGTTCTGAACGCAGTCTTTTCGATATCCTGCTCTCTCACCTTTAGTTGATGGTATCATGACCTAAGATCGATCTTCGAGAAATAGCTCGAACCTTGCAACTGATCGAACAGGTCATCGATCCTCGGCAACGGGTACTTGTTCTTTATTGTTGCTTTATTCAGCTCTCTGTAATCGATGCACATTCTCATGCTCCCGTCTTTCTTTTTTAAAAATAACACAGGGGCTCCCCAGGGTGATGAACTAGGTCGAATGAAACCTTTGTCCAATAACTCCTAAAGTTGTGTCATAAGTTCTTTCATCTCTGTTGGTGCTAATTGATATGGTGCTTTTGCTATCGGTGTCGTTCCTGGTAACAAGTCGATACGGAATTCTACTTGTCGATCAGGGGGCAATCCGGGAAGATCTTCGGGAAAGACTTCCGGATAATCACACACCACCAGAATATTCTGCACCTCCTTCTTCTCCTTCTTAGCATCGATCACGAACGCTAGATATGATGTACATCCCTTGGCCAAACACTTTTTGGCTTTCATTAAGGAAAATGATTCCAGAGTTTACTCTGCGTTTGTCTCCATACACCATAAACGACTCTTTCCCTGGTTGGGTTTACTTTTACTATCTTCTTCCTACACAATATTTTGGCATCATTGGCGCTAAGCCAATCCATTCCTAAAACTATGTCGAATCCATCTAACTCGATAGGCAATAATTCCTCGTGAAACTTATTCCCATCCAAGTCAATGAGGATGTTTTTCATACGATGGCTAACAGGTACAAACTTGCCACTAGCAATCTCGACTATTATAGCATTAACTAGTCTATCTACAGGCAAAGCTAGTTTTCTACCAAATTCATGCGAAATAAAGGAGTAATTGGCTTCATAATCAAACAAAATTTGGGAAGGCAATTCGTTTATGATAAAGGTACCTGAAACGACATCGGCTTCTTCTTTCGCAGCTTCAAGTGTCATCTGAAAGGCTCTCGCCTTCGGCTTTGGTGGAAGATTGTGCTTTGCTGCATCCTTCTTCTTCGGGCAATCCTTCAAAATATGCCCTTCTTCATGGCACCCAAAACAAACGTTCTTATCGAAGGTGCATTCATTGGCATAATGCCCTGGCTTTCCACACTTGTAACAAGTGACTTCCACGTTGCACTTCCCAGCATGTTTCTTCTTGCACTTGTCACACCACTTGGCTTCGGCTCCTCCTCCGAATTTTCTCGAACCAGTCTTCGAGAACTTGTTCTTTTTATTGGAACCTGAAGTTCCTTCAAACTTTCTCTTTTCGCCAACTTCAACCTTGCTGGCGGCTCTCCCCTTTATCATATCTTCGACAGACTTGGCAGCCCAGATAGCTGCCTCCAAAGTAAGTGCCTGACGTACTGGCACCGCATACTCCCATGGAAGTCCCTTTGCGTACCTGTCAATTTTTGCCAGCTCATCTGGGACAATACGCAAAGCAAACTCCATTTTGTCTGTGAAGTTATTCGTATATTCCTCAACGGTCATACTCCCCTTCTTCAATGTTAGAAATTGGTTTTCTAACTCAAGCAAGTTTTGGGCCGAGCAGTACTTGCGCTTAAAGTGCACCAAGAACTCTGCCCAAGTCAGTTGTAGTGGCTCATTAGGGCTGAGGGGTTTCCCCAGAGTGTTCCACCAACGAGCAGCACTACCCCTGAACTGACGCACTGCAAATGTGGTTTGTAACTTGCCTTGGCAACCATAAGTCATGAAAGCCAATTCCATTTCCGAGATCCAATCCATTACTCCGACAGGATCTTCTTTTCCAGTGAAGGTCGATGGCTTGCAAGTCATAAAGTCCTTATACTTGCATCCATTTCTCTCCACTCTATCCTCGTGGTTATTTCTCCCAACCACAAGCGGCTCACTATGACCAACCGATCTACTGTTGTTTCCTTCTTCAAATCGATCGTCATTCAATTCACGTTGTTCAATAGGAACTGAAGGTTCATCCCTGTTGTTCAGCAACATTTGCCTCAATTCCTCCCACTGTTCAGCCATCATGGTCTGAATCATAGTTCGTACTCCAGCCATGGTGATGGGTTCGGGTGCAGCTCCTACTATAGGCACCTGTTCCACCACTTGAGGTTGAGGTTGTTGGTTTGTGTTTGCATTTCCCGCTCCACTTCGAGTTCTTGCCATTATAATCTATATACCGAATAAGGCAAATTTAGGTCTTTATCCTTGATAGATATTTCAATTCCCTTATCACTCCGAAACGTTTACATGTTAGTTCTAATCTCGTAATCATACGCTTAGGATCCTACACACATAAGGTTTCCAGATCCGGTCGGCAACAGACCATAGATCCGAACATATAATGGCATATATGGCAAACATATATAGCATTTAGCACATAAAAGCATTTTAGGCATCTTTCCTAAAATAAACTAGTGCTCGTGTCTAAAATATGGTAGACACTCATCTCACAATCATCACTCACTACTAGAAAAACAGCCTTTTACGACGCGCAATGCGTGTCGTAAAACGCTCAGACGATGCGCAAATGCGTGTCAAGGAAGGCCCTTTCATATCGAGAGACGATACGCTTTTGCGCGTCGTCTATTTACGACGCGCATTTATGACGAGAAATTACAACACACATTTACGACGCGCATTTACGACACGCATTGCGTATCAAGGAAGGCCCTGTCATAAAGGAAGATGACACGCATTTTGCATGTCGTAACCTTACGACGCGTATTTACGACTCGCATTGCGTATCATTAAGGTCATGTCATAAATGAAGACGACACACATATTTGCGTATCATAATTTTAAATGTTTAAAAAAAACATTATTTATAGATTTACTAATTTTCAAATTAAATTTGTATTTAATATCTCATAATAGAAAATAAAATATCATACACAAAAAATACAATCCATTGCATAAAATTTAATGTCATACAAATAATCGTTTCATGGAAAGATAAAATAAATCAATAGAAGTTGTAACAAAAATTTACAAACTAATTAGATACAAGAAATATAAACAAATATACCCTCAAATGCTTTTCAAAGTCTAATCTCCATGTCAGCTCTTCAATTCACTTCTCCAGTTTGTCCTTAGCTTCTCTAAGGGCTCCAGAATCTCTTGCAGCCTGTGACAACATATTATAATTTTTTAATTACTATTTATTCTTATAATTCAAAGCATTTAGATAAAATGGTATTATATAATACTTATATTTTTTTACAGAAAATCCACTCACCAGCTTCAACATTCTTAATTCTTTCCTTGCTACCTTTGATCTCCATAGACATTGGAGTGTAAGATTTGCTTTCTGCTTATTCACCCTTGTTTCTAATCCTTTTCTTAAATACTTTACAAACATAATTCATCCATAATACCTGAACTATAGTTGCAGCCTTGTTTCTTCTTCTTCTTTTGAACTCATCTCTTGCAGCCAAAATTAAATACCATTCGAGATCATGCCATATGGCAACAAATGTTAAGACAACCCACACATTTAAAAGCTTCCTTCCAGATCCCCAAGAGGAATGTACATGTACCTATAAATATAATCATTTCATAAAATAAATTAAGCATGTTGTTGTCAATGTCATTCTTTATTTTAAAAGACAAGACAAGACACACACACACACACACACACACATATATATAATATATATATATATATATATATATATATATATATATATATATATATATATATATATATATATATATATATTGGTAGCTCTCCAAGGTCAGATAATAACTGAAATAACATACATAATAAGCTTTACCTGACAAGCCATTTATTAAAGGAAGCATGCCAATTTTTCCAAAAGCTTTCGAAGTTATAGTAAAAAGTAAGAATGTAATCAAATTCCTTCCCTTAGGAATGATGTGAAATCCATCAAACATGGAATTCCGTCCATTTAGCAATCAGACATGCCATGGAATGGAATCTTGAATTGCACCAAAATTTTACAATTTTGCCCGAAATCAAACGTTAAAAAAGAATGTAGAATATTGATGTTTTTTTACCTTTGTTCCCACATAAAATGTTACAAGCAAGCCAAAAAGAGTGGGTAGTCCTGGAAAAAGAAAACAAAATTTGATTTTATCAACTCGAGAGCAGATATGTGCAATAATTTGGGGAAAACAGAAAAAGAAATAGAAACCTTCTGTCTGAAGAAATACAGATTTTAGCCAACTTATGCCCGATGGTCCGATGACAAAGCCCACAAGTTTAGCCACCTGCCAAATAGATATAAGGGCAAAATGGTCATTTTCAAATTCTTTTAAATTGAACCACCATATACGTGGAAATCAAGAAAGCATTGGGACCTAGATTTGTTTATATTATAATAAGTAAATACAATGTATAGTTCTGACTCTGCTGTGTATACTAACACTAGTTAATTATATTTAATAAAAAATTTAATTATAAAAATTAAAAGTTAAACACAGTAGATACTATTAAAACCCAAATAAAAAAAAGTTAACTTTAGACATATTAAATTTAATTTAAATTAAACTCATGAAATATTTGGAAACCCTTAAAATTGGGTTAAATAGTAATTTCTTATTGATGATGGTTACAGATAAATAAACAGTTTATTTTAATACAGTGTCAATGGAATGAAGCATTCTATTCCTTCCATGATTCCAACGTACCAAACACTACCTGATCAATGAATTGAAAATATATATATGCATGAGGTCAAACAGAACTACTTTACTTTCTAGATTCAAAACTGATAGTGATCGTTTCGTTGTTAGAGATCTACCGAGAACAATTTTACTTTCTTCGATTTTGGTTATATATATTATTTAAATTAATTAACTTTGGAATTGGAAATTGGTCCCTTTGGAAGTGTTGTTATTTTAGGAACATAGATTAGGGTAGTTTTATGCAACACAAACCATGATACACGCGTTTGTGATAGCACCAGCAACTGCACTAAGCTCACGCAAAACAAACTCCTTAAATACGTTATCAGCCTGCAAAACCACAACTCGAATTTCAGGGAATTCCAATCTCAAACTATTTATTTTTGTCATATGTATGTATAATGAGGGTATTTTGGTCTTTTCACAAAAACAAAAAAACAAATTCCTTCTAGGAATTATGATATCCATCCAACCAACAAACATAGAAGTTGAAGGAATCAGACAGAATTAAATTCCACAACACAACTAACCAGTCAAACATATCTTGTAATGTTTCCATAGGATCACCAACAACCTTCAAATGATTATCACAAGATTCAGATGTCTGGAGCAAAAGGTATATCTGCACAACAGTCGAAGTCTTAAGTTGAACTCTGATAAAAAATCGTTTACAATATACAATTCCACCACCAAGCATACCTTTCCCAAATTCAGTGCTAAATAAAGATCTACCAACTATTTGACGGCTGCAATTACAGAGGGAAACTAACAACTTTATATAAATTTTAATAAGTACAAATTGTGAAGAAATAATATAGAAATTGTGTTACACATTTATTGAAGCTGCCTCCCTTAGAACAACATCAAGATCTTGAATGATCTCTTGGGGGTTATCATGTTGTCTACCACTTAAAAAGTGTCTCAAATGGTGCAGATCTTTTCTAGACACAAACTTGATGTTCACCTTAAATTCCTGTTCACGCCTACAATATGCATACTAACATTAACATAGGACAATGGTCAATGGTTTTTGAAAAAGCAAGAATTAAGAAACAGATATTGGAAAATAAAATTTATACTCATTACTCTCAGTCAATTTCACCACAAACTCTTTAGACTCAAATGGAAGAGGTTTAGCAGCAAACGCAGTCTTCATGCCATCATAAGCCAACAACATGTTTCCCAAATGTGATTGCTTGTGTAAATCACTGACAAGTTTCAAGATCTCACAGCTTCTAGGTTTTGATATTACCTATGGAGTAATTGTCACCTAAAACATTGCAATAACAGAACACAAAATCAATTATAACCCATATATCTCATGTTTAAAATACACATTTCATTTTAAACCAGCAAATAAGTACGAAGAAAAGGATATAGAGAAAAATGGCATACACTAAGTAACAGATAATACAATTGGATTATCCTTACATTGCAACATCAAAAAAAGGGTACTCTGTCTGGAATATTAATATAAACAAACCCCAAATGTGGTAACATGTACGTTCAGAAACAAAATGAAGAACAACGTACATTTTCATTTAACATGTTAAAATTAAAGTTGATTTGCTTTGGGAAATCATTTACAATATAATTACATAAAGATTGTGTTTTTACCATCCAAGTTTCCTGTAACATTCGCTGACAGGTTTGCAATGCAGCAAATAGTTTTCCCATTAAAGAATCAAGAAATGGAAGAATCAAGAAATGCAATGCAGCAAATATTTTATTATTAACTAGATTTTATACCCGATTGTTTCTTAAGTATCTTGTAAAACTATGACTACTACTAACTAAGACAAAAATGCCCCTATACACAAAACATACAACCTTAAATATTTACAATATTATCTACTAAAAATTGTTTTTGAAGCGTTTAACACCAAAAACCAAATCAATTATTAAATCAATTCTTCATATATTTCAAAATTTTACTCTGCGGGATGATGTTAGTTTTAGGATGCCAATGATATAACACACATGGGCTCCCATAAAATGTCTTACCTAAGAGGACCTCCAGCTAGATGAATCGTAGTTGAGACGACAAGATTATTGACTTTAGGGATTATTGTTGCCAAGTCAATGTTGGCGAAACACTTAGGATCCATAACACACCCAAGAAAATATGAGCAGGTAGCAACATCATAACATACATTGTGTATCAAGCATTAAGGAAACCAATATATCATTATACAATATAAATATATTCACAACCAACAAATCAAGAATCAGATACATACTATAAACATACCTAAATCTGAATAGTATGTTGTTTCTTTTTCCTGCCCCTATTTTATCTCATTTTGTCATTAAATACTTCTTTTTCCAATTTACTTTCTTTTTCAATTTGCTTACACTAAAAACATATGCAAACAAAAATGAAATAAGCATCAAAATTCTAAATCTCTTTTAGGGTGAAAGCACAAGTCGGTCGGTTAATTTGACTGTTGAAAGCATATAAGTAATTAAAACCCCACTCATCTACTGTTCTACAATTAACAAGAAATAATAGGCAATCAAGATTCGAGAATTTAGAAAAAGAAAACTATTAACCATAGACAATGATCTTTTAAAGGAAATAACTTTATTAGAAACCAAGATTCAAGAATTTGGAAAAAAAAACTTACTCAGATCTGTAAGGAGGGTCAACGGAAATCAAATTCAGGAATCAAGAAGTTGGATTCCAGAAATACGAAATCTCAATTGGAGATCAGGCATTCGAGTTTCAACGAGTTTTAGACTTTCAGTCAATCACACATTTGAGTAATCGATTTTTAGCAAATTCCAGGATTTCAGCGGTTGAGCCAGTTTGCTTTCCGTGATGGACTGATGGCGACTAGAATTAAGAAATCTCAACCTAAAATCAAAATTAGATGGAAGAAATCAGAAATTATAACATCAGATGGGAAGAAATCTGTGAAAAGAGTTGAAGTCGTTTGAGATACCGATGTTAATCGTTAGAAATATCAATCGAGAAGAGAACAGAGAGTCGCTTCCTTTTTTGGTGTTGAATTTTTGGTAGGGCAATCTGATGAGAAGCGATTGTTTGAGATATCGATGTTAACCTTCGCTTCGTTTTTCCATCCTTCTACACATTATGCAGGGCAATATGGTCATTCTCTCCCTATAAGCACAAAACCATTTGATCATGAGGAGAAGCGAAGAAATGGTGAGGGAGAAAGGTCTGAATCATTTCACCACCAGTCGATCACCACCAAACACCCTCGCACATACTGGGTTGAGAGAAAACGAGAGAAGAGGAAGCTTAGAATAAAATAAAACCCTAGCACGTCCTAGAGAGAAGGGAGGTGGCGATGCCTTAGGGTTTGTAGAGAGAAGGGAGAAGAATGTCATTTTTACAAAAAGTGGGCAGCTTTCTCTTTTACAGACAACATCGGGTTGTCTGGGAACATTCTCTTTACATGCTCTTTACATTCTCTCTAGTCTCTACATTCTCTTTACCCTTTTAGTCAAATAAACAATAACATACATGCATTAATACAAGATCTGACACAAACATACTAAACAGTTTGCAGAAAATATAGGATTTTCTGGTGGTTTCAAAGTTATACAAATCATTTTCACAAACATGCTTATGAACTCACCAACATTTTTATGTTGACCTTTTTAAATTAACTTGTATTCTCAGGAAACCGTTGAAGCAGGATGAACGAAACAAACTAATGGATATTGTGTTATATTTTGTTTCATCATACTCTGACTATTTTGGCATGTAATATTCAAATACAATACTCGATGTAAACAATGAATGTTGTTATATTACATGTGTGATGATGATGATGTTATGTTTCAATTATATACTCTGTAATTATACTACAATGTTGAAAGTCACACCAAGCCCCCGGACGTTTCCGCCGTCTGGTTCGGGGGTGTGACAATTACGATTTGACATAATCCATAACCACCACCACCGTCTAATCCAACCCACACCATCTACCTCCAACAACAAACACCGTCTTCTATTTATTGGAGTTATCAGTTTGTGGGAGTTATCCATTTGTAAATAAAGAAATTGAAGAATAAAGTTGACTGGTCAAGTAAACCCACATGTTTTACCTAATCTTTAGCTTTTTCGTTTATATCTTAGCTTTTTGGTTTTATCTTAGCTTTTTCGATTTCCTTGTTACTTTGTTTTTTTCTTTCATGTATTTAATAGCCTCCTTGGCTCTCTGAATAAAGCAATTGATTTCGGAGAGAACACCATACCGTTTGAATAGTCTTTCAAATTGGAAACAAAGTAAACCTACGATCACTAACAAAGAGCGATAAGATGAATAACGACAAAATGAAAGTTCTGGTCTTTGATGGTCACTATAAGCATTGGAGCTAGATGATGGAGAATTTGTTGTGGGAAAAACAAGTGTGGAACCTGATGATCCAGGAAATAAAGAATCGGTAGTTAGAATCGCTTAGAGTGAGGATGAGAAGGAGAAATTAGAAGAATTACGGATGAAAGACTTACAAGTCAAACATTACTTGTATCAAGCTATTAATCTAGTAACAATTGAACAAATTATGGATAGAAAAATGTCCAAGGCGGTATGAGATTCCATGAAACAAAGGTTCACATGCAACGAATGGGTAAATAGATCTATGTTGCAAAAGCTTTGAAGGGACTTTGAAGTCCTGGAGATGAAGACAAATGAAATGATTCTTGAATATTTTGGGAGAGTGCTGGAAATTTCAAATCATATAAGGAGTAATGGAGAGCAAATAGGCGATGTCAAAATTGTTGAGAAAATTCTCAGGACTCTAACCGAAAAATACATGCATATGGTGGTATCGATTGAAGAATCAAGGAACATGGAGGAGATGTGCATAGAAGAACTACATAGTACATTGGTGGTTCATGAACCAAAGTTCAAGAAAGTGGAGAAAGATGAAGATCAAGCATTAAGGGTGGAATCTAGCATTATTCCAAGTAGTCGTGGAAGAGCAAGATGGCGTAGTAACAACAAAGGTAGAGGACGAGGCAAGGGAAGACTATCCTTCATCAAGGAAACGATAGAAAGCTACAACTGCTACAAACTGGGACATTACTCTTATGAATGTCCTCTCTCCAAAGAAGCAAACTATGTTGTCTTTGAAGAGAATTAGGAGGTTATTCTTATGGATGAGACAAACATAGAGGATAATGGTTTCATGGAAGATACACCCAGAGAGAGCAAAGGTATGATATGATTTCTAAATTCTAGCTGTTCTAACCACATGTGTGGAAATGGAGATAGGTTCATTCACCTTGATCTAGAATTCACAATCTCTATTAAGTTGGGAAAAAATTATCGAATGAAGGTGGTTGGAAAGTCTAATCTGAAACTATTTCTGAATGGAGCAACCTACGTTATCAATGTTGTGTATCATGTTCCGAATCCTAACAAAAATATTCTTAGCATAGGAAATTGTCAAAAAAACGTTTGTCCTTTTTATTCCAGGTGGATGTTTGCAAGGTATTTCATAAAGAAAAAGGTCTAATATTTCAAAGATGCATGAGCACAAATCGAATGGTCCCAATTTGTGAAGAAACAGAAGTTGTCACCGATCAGAAAATAGATAGATTCGTGTATATTAGTGATGAGGACAATCCTAAATTATGGCATGAACGAATGGGTCGTCTTTGCAATATAATTATGGAGACACTCTAAAAGAAGGGTAGGGTTTGTGATTTACCCCCATTTTCCTATCAGCAAATATGTATGAGAAGATTGTATGATAGCAAAACAGACTAAACTAGCCATTCCAAAGACTAGCAATTGGCGAGCAAAGGAGATTTTGGAGCTGGTTCACTCTAAAATTTATGGGCCAATAACACCGGCATCACACATCGGTAACAAGTATTTTTTTGAGCCTTATTGAAGATTATAGTCGGAAAATTTGGGTATATTTGTTAGCAGAGAAATCTCAAGCCCTTGAAAGCTTCAACCAATTTAAAAATAAGGTAGAGACTGAGACAGGAAAAAAGTTAAGGCTCTCCGCACAGATCATGGTGGTGAATATTTGTCTAATGACTTCAAGAAGTTTTGTGTGGAGCATGGGATTAGAAGAAATCTTACAACTAGCTTCTCCTCAGCAAAACAAAGTTGTTGAGCGAAAAAATCGAATGGTTATCAACATGGTGGTTTCAGTGACATCCTCAAATAAAATGCCTAAGAAATTCTA